GGTTCCAGATTTTTTTGCTCTGTTGCCTGAATCCCCAGAGCCCAAGGTAGCTGACCTAGGCCAGCCATGGCTATACCAACAAATCTTTTATACTTGTGTAGACATAGTACAGATGTTGGAAAATAGTTAATAATGTAACAGTGTAACCACTAACATTCTTAGCAGTTACATGCTGCAGGCCCTGAAGTATAAAGCTTATACTGCAGAGCCCTCAATGTGATGGCTAGCTTCCTGGGAGCAGGACCGGCAGCCAGATCCAGTTCATGCCAGGAGCAGGGTTACTAGAGTACTAGCTCCTAGCCCCATTCCGGGGACCTGCCTGCCACTCTGTGCTGCAGACTCTGACCCAGAGCCAGGGCAGTAGCCAGCTCCTGCCTGCTGGCCCCGGCTCCCAGAAACCAGCTTCCTGAAAGCGGGCCGTGAATCAGCATGTAACCATTATGGAAACCAATAAGCTCATGCTGATGGTTTAACTGTTTAAGCAGTTTTACACTCTTACATCCCTGAGATATATCCTGTGAGGATGAGGGAGGGCTGGAGTGAATAGTCAATCAACATAGGGCAGAAAAAGTTCAATAAAAACTGCCGAAAGAGCTCTGAATATCCAGAAGATGAGAGCTTTTGTAGCTTTTGCCCCTATAGGCTGGAATCTCTGACTGCTGGCTCCTCTGTGGAGCCCTCCTGAGCAGATAAGGAGGGAGGCAACCTTGCCTTGGTCGTAGGATCTGGCCCAGTGTTTTGAAATATCTCCTGCATCATCACCTGCCTGGTTTCTTAATCCTCTTAAATGTCATGTGTTTTATGGCATGCCAGGTTGAAGACATTGATACTGTACCACCCAGCTTTGGCAGTTATCATGTGTGTCTCTCACAAACAAATGAAGTTGATGGTATGTTTATGGGTGGGTGGTCTCTGCTGCATAGTTCTGGGCATGGGGGTTACTGGAAGAAGGGATTGCTCCAGCTGGTGGCAGACCCTGTTTTGACTGTTTCTGTTCCTGTTGGCTGGAGTCTCTGGCTTTGACAAATAAATACGTATTTGACACACATAATAGGAAAACAGAACTATTTCATGCCTACTTTGCCTCAGTTGTCCCACTAAAAATATTTGACTGGATAACTAGTGAAGTTTCCAAGAGTAAGGGATACAATAAGTATGAATAAGTAAAGAACACATCAGAGATCTGACTAATTTGAATGAATTCAAGTCAATGAGGCCTGATGCTTTTCACCTGAGGGTGCTGTGGGAATTAGGTGAAGAAAACTTGGAATCATTTGCAATAATATTTGCAAACTCATAAATGACAGGAGAAGCCCTGGAGAAGGGCTAATGTAGGACCCATCTGAGAAAAGGGGAAGCCAGGAAAGGACCAGTCTGCCTCCTCCTGATACGCTACAAGATGTATATAACATGCAGTATGAGAATACTGTACCTGAAAGAGAAAAGGATAATTATTAGCAGCCATTGTAGATTTACTAAGAGCAAATCTTGCTAACGCAGATGGATTTCTTTCTTTGATAGAGTAACTGGTTTGCTAGATGAGGAAATGTGGTGGACCTAATGTTTTTGGACATTAACGAGACTTTTGGCACAGTCCCATTTGGCATTCTGATAAGTAATCTGGAGAAAGGTGGGCTTGGTGGAACTACCCTTATGTGGATAAATAGTTGATGAAACAGCTGCAAACAAAGAATAACTTTCACTGAAATGTTGTCAGATGGGAGAGAGGTTTAAAATGGGGTTCCACAGGAATCTGTTCTGGGTCTGGTGTTCATTAATGACCTGGATGTAGGACTAGAGAATAAACTGATCATGTTTGCAGATGACCAAAAGCTAGTAGGGTTACAGACACTTTGAGAAGCTAGAATTAAAAGACTTGATTTACACTACCAGAGGCCTTTGATCTAAGACCGTGTTTCTCAACCTTTTTTATAAAGTACCCCTTTTAAAAAATATTAAAAGTACCTACAGTTTTCAGACACACACATTTTTTTTCTACCATTGCAACACATTTGTTTAAACAACTTAATTGTAGCTGAGCAGGTGATGAAATTTTGGGGTGTAAAAGTACAACAATAATAAAGCGCTATAAAACTTAAAACAAAAATTCAGTTTTCTCCAAATTTCAGTTGTTGATGTTCCCCCCCAGACTTCTCTTAAGTACTCCTAAGGGTACTCTACCACTGCTTGAGAAACACTGATCTAAGATACACAATGACTAATGTAACAGAAGTGGAAGTACTTAGATCTGCTTACCTTATGGTCCCTTCTAACCCCATGTTACTATGAGTCTATGACAAACTTTTAATAAGCATTCCTTTCTTCATTGATAGTAGCACTTTTATCCACTGTCATTTTAAAAAGTATTTGAGGAAAATGGCATATCTGTAGTTTTAAAGGGAAGAACAGCTTCTTAGTATAGGTTGGACCTCCCTGGTCCAACACCCTGAGTTGTCCCGGACCAGGGAGTTTCCTGGACCAGGATAGGTCAGTGCTCCCCTGCTGGCTGCCCTGCTTCTGGGCTCCTCTTCTTGGGGCTCCCTGCCCTGCCTCTGGCCCCCCTTTCACTGGTCTTGCAGGAGCTCCCTGCCCTGCTGCCTATCCACTGCCCCAGGATCTCCTAGCGGGAACTGCTTGGCTGCTGCAGGCCCCGCTGCTGCAGCGTGTTTCCCGTGGTTTCTGGCTGGGGCTACCCAGCTGCCGCCGTCCCTGTTGTTAGGGACACCCCACTGGTGCTGGGGATTCTGGCCTCCATCAGTCCCGCTTCAGCCAGGGGGTTCCCTGGCAGAGGCTGCCTGGTCACCCTGGCCCTGCTGCCATTGGAAATTTGCCAAAATTCCTGGCGAGGACTGCCCAGCTGCCACTGCAACTTGGGGTTCCCCAGCTGGGGCCAGGACTCCTTGGTCATCTGGCCCTGCTAACCCTGGGGGTTCCCCAGCCAGGGTGGGAGATCCCCAAATGCTGCCTGGCTTCACTGACGCCAGGGGTTCCCCTGCCAGGCTCCCCTGGCTCCTGCATTGCTTCCACCTTCAGGGCTCTTTGGTCCAGCAACATCTGTGGCCCTGCTAGACCACAGATGTCACCAGATCAGAGAGTCCCAGATTTAGGAAGTTCAACCTATATTGCGTATAAAATGGAAATAATACAATAGACGACTAAGAAAAGGCAATTACTAACTTTATATCCAGATATCAGAGGGATAGCCCTGTTAGATCCAATTGCAGATCTAAAGGTAGCCATCCTGCAGCAAAAAAACTTCAGGACCAGACTTCAAAGAGAAACTGCTGAGCTACAGTTCATCTTCAAGTTTGACACAATCAACACAGGATTAAACAAAGACTGTGAATGGCTCACTAACTACAAAAGCAGCTTTTCCTCTCTTGGTATTCACACCTCCAGATCAGCTACTAGAAGTGGGCCTCATCCTCTGTGATTGGATCCACCTCTTCATCTCCAGCGCGATTCTGGCCTGTATATTTATACCTGCCTCTGGAAATTTCCACTACATGTATCTGACCAAGTGGGTCTTTGCCAACAAAAGCTTATGCTCCAACACTTCAGTTAGCTATAAGGTGCCACAGGACTCCTCGCCGCTTTTACATCCAGACTGTTTCAAGTTCAGTCTCTAAAGAAAGTACTGATTAATCAAGCATGGCTCACAGAATTGTCTGAGTTTCTGAAAGCTATAATAATCTTGTGTAGTTTTGGTTTTTCTCGTTTTCTTGCTCCCAATGTGAATATACATATACAGATTTTTGCATCCTGCAGGTTCTCACAGATTTACGTCACAGTAGCCCCTGAGTAGAATGCAAATCTAATTACACATGAAGATTTTAAAAATTAGAATGGGTGAGAGAGAGGAAAGGGACTTTTTAATGAGTTTCAATAAAGACTTGGTTATTTGCTGAACATGCAGATATGTAGCTGACATCAGCTGGGGTTGTGTAAGGGCCTAATTTAAAAAAATTGCTACTAGTAGGCATATTTAAGCTGAAAAATTCCAGATTTTTATTGAGACTGGCCTAGGGATGTAAGTGACTAGTTGACTAGTCCCTTGACTAGTCACTTCCCCACCCTCCTTGCTGCCTCTGTCAGAGACAGCAAGGTGGGGGAGCAGGAACTTAAAAATCAGTTCCCCCAGCACCATCTTCTCAAGGAACAGGGGAGTAGCAGGATCCAGGTGCGAGTCATGAATCAGTTGATACCTGGTTTGCACCCAGTCCCAGATGCTGCGCCTCTGCTTTTTAAATGTATTAAAGCTGGCCCTTAATACATTTAAAAAGCAGAGGCTCGGGGGGGGGTGGGAGCCAGGCAAGAGCTAATTTCTGGCTTGCGCCACATCCCTCCCCACTGTGCACCAGCCTTTTAAATGGATTAAGAGCCTGCTGGCTCTTAATCCATTTAAAAGGCAGAGCTGCAGTGGGGTTGCTCCTGGGGCTGGGAGCTAACCCCACTGTGGCTTCCCTACTTATCGACTAGTCGATTAGTCAATGGAAATTCCATCGGATAGTTGATTAACTAAATTTAGCATCCCTAGGCTGGCCTTTGACTATCTGCCTTGAATTGCTTTTAGGTATAAAATGAACCAGAAGTGATGCCAGACTAGTATTTTTATCAGGGTATACCTCATCCTCTTTCGTCATACAAAAAAGATAGAATAATACTAGAAAGGAAATTAAAATAAAAGGCTTCCAGCCAAATGTGTTTTTGTAATCTGAATGTGTCAGGAAAAGTTTTCAATTTGAATCTCTATTTACCCTTTTTTAGCTGTCTGGTTCTTAGTCAAAAGTTTGGTTTAACTTGCATTTAAACAGGATCCAAAACAACCCCCCTAATCTCATATCCCTGAACCTTGAAGTAGTTTGGCTCCAAATTTAAAGTTTATGTCTTAAAACCATGGCTACGTAATCATTTAAAGCATGATATAAGAACTAAGCATTATTATTATTTATGAAATAGTGACTGTGCTCTTGAACCTATTGTTTTCTTTTTTACTTCAGGATATCTCTTCTGGTGGGTGCTCCAAAAGCAAACACTACACAGCCCAACATTGTAGAAGGAGGCCAGGTGCTCAAGTGTGACTGGAAATCCAGCAGAAACTGCCAGCCCGTTATATTTGATTCCACAGGTAAAGTGTGATGTACTTGCTGTAAGTAGTTGGGACTTGTGATCCTTCCCATGCCATCAGCCGGGGGGGGCCTTGTAACATTGTTAGTAGCTTCAGAGTGTGCTCACATTGATACTTCTTCCTACAATGCTAACTTTAGGCAGGAAAAATAAATACGACATCATACACATCCAATCATTGTCATTGATTTATGTAGGTTTATTCTTTGGGGGACTCAGTAATAAAAATAAGTTTGTGAAAAGTGATTGATATCTGTATGTTAATATCACTCCTCTCAGCAAGACCCAGGACAAATTAAGCTCTGTATGTCATTAGGAAGTAAGCAGCATGGGTGACGAGCAGGGGCGCTGACAGCCTCTGCCGGCTCTGGGAAAGATGGGAGGAGCCCCAGCTCTGTGCTCCCAGAAGGGGCAGGGCCTCGGGCGGAGAGGGCAGGGTCGGGGCAGCCAGCCCTCCATGCCGACCAGTGCATCCTCTCACTCCCACCAGCCCTCAGAGCCGTCTGGAGCATGGCGCCCTCCCAGCTCTTAGAGCCACCCAGAGAGCGCAATGTGGTGCTCTGGCCGTGATTTTAAAGGGCATGGGGCTCTGGCTGCTGCAGTAGCAGCATTGGCAGTTGGGAGCCCTAGACCCCTTTGAATTGGCAAAACCCAATGTGAGTGGTCCTGGCCGCAAGCCATGCGGGGCATGGATGTGAGGCTGGGAAAGATAGTGGGAGCCCAGAGCGATGAGGATGGGAGAACTCTGCATGGCCAAAGCATCACTAGCTACTACATGGTCATAATGGGGGCCATGCAGCTGAAGTAGGGATTCTGCTGCACCACCTGGCTAGAAGTAATTTCCATAATACATGGGGTTTATAGTTTGGCTAATTGGCTCGTAGCATCCCCCGCTATACATATTGTTATAGCACCCCACTGCCATACTCCCAGGGCCAGTTCCCACCATGTTGTGGCAGCGCCTGTGACTGGAGTCGGGGCCAGCGGCTGGAACTGGGGGCTGAAGGGCATGCAAAGCCCCACAGCTAGGCTCCCAAAGTCCCCCAGCGAACCCCAGGGCTGAAGTCTAAGCTCCCCCTATCCCCAAAAGGCTGAAGAACTTGCTTTGCTTCTGCAGCATTGTGCCCACCTGTCTTCAGAGATGGTGCCAGGCAGAGCATCAAGGAGCAACAGAGAGAGAGGGAGAGACTGATACTTTGCCCCTCAAAGCCACCCACGGTCACTCTCAAGAGGGTTTCATGGCTCCACAAAAAGTCCCTGGTGGTCACATAGGGCCATTGGTGTTTGACAATGTGGGAAGGTTCAGATTCAGTTGAGGGTTTTGATTCCAGTTAGTTAGAATTCAGGTTCTCTTGGATTGGCTGACTAACCTGGGTTTGCTCTTGTTGGTCATTGAGAATTTCAGTATGTTTGGTGTGTTCAAGTAATTCTATACTATTTTTTTTAATATGAGTCCAGCACTGGTTTTTCATTCATGCTTTCTCGTTTGTATTCTGATACTTATCTAAGACATTACATCAGGGGTGGGCAAATACCAGTCTGTGGGCTGGATGGGGCCCACCACAGTTAGCCCCTGGTGAGCTGCCACAACTATATTTACCTGCACCTCTGCAGGGACAGGCTATTGCAGCTCCCTTTGGCCAGGGATTGTTGTTCCCAGCCAATGGGAGTTGTGGGAAGCAGTGTTCTGGTCCATGCTGCTTCCCGCAGCTCTCATTGGCTGGGAACGGTGACCTGCAGCCAGTGGGTGCTCCATTTGCCAGTACCTGCAGAGATGCAGGTAAATATAACGATGGTAGCCCGCCATGGGCTAGCCCTGGTGAACCGCTGTTGGTGGGTTGTTTTTTTTTTTTTGCCTACTCCTGTATTACATAGTAAATACAGTCCTGACTTTTACATGTGCAACTCCCACACAAGTTACTCAAAACCTCAAACTGAAAGCCGGGGGTGGAAACTTGAAACAAAAACAAAGGAAATATTTTCATGATCAGAAATCAGTGGGATTTTTTACAAGTCTAGTCATTTCACAATACTTACCTTACATCTTGGTCAGGATTTTTTTCAGTAAGTCTGCAATGAGGCATTAGCCCTTGTCAGTACTTCACTAAAATGGAAAACAGTATTGGTGACGTATTATATTGCGTAATGTTATTTATTCCATTCAGTCTTCATGCTCTGTTACACTTAGTGATTTCCCCCAGCTGTGGTAGGCCATGCAGTAATCCTCTGCACGTTTCTACGCTTGAGCTTAGGGATATTGAATCCTGTTTCCCACTGCTTGTTTTAAGCCACCACATGGAAAAATCTTTTCATGTCATGAGTGTGGATTAGCAGGACCTGTATTATTGTGGCACGAGGAAGCACTGGTGATTTAGAGCATTGCAGGTGACAATCCATCCATATATCTGACAGTGCTATCTATGTACATGCATGCACACCTTTTGCTTGACACTTAGTTGCCATGTTTATTCAGAATTTATAAAGTGTACTACAGTGCAGTGAAGATGCTACTCTTTTACTGCATTAAGTTGTCAAGATATCTTACCAAAGACTCTGAAATCTGCATATGATACTGGAAATTGTTCTGTTTTTTATTCTTTTTAAATAATTGAAAACTGTATTCATCATAGTGTGTATAACATTCATTTCAGGATTTGTCTCTTTGTTAATTGAAACCAAACTCTGGTTTTTGAAGTTGTTTTGGTCCACAGCTGTCAGTTTGTCAGCTGGCTTAGAATTTTTGTTGTATCAGGTGAAAGAGGCAATGTTGGCAAAGCTGATTTTGAAGTGTTTGTAATTCTTTGCTGTTAATGGTATCATAGAATACTAGAACTGCAAGGGACTTTGAGAGGTGAATGCTAATTCATAATTAAAAGACTTTGTAAACCAACCTGTCAAATTCTGAACAGACTTTTTGATAGGATAAGATTGGTTTTTAGTATAATTTGAAGCTTGGTAAGCAAGACAAGTGACCATTGCACAAATATCTTCATTGACCAGTATATACCTTATGAATATATTTCCATTGCTGCAATCTCTTCTGAAAATTAGGTATTCTTCTGGATTAAGCCAGTAATACAGATTGCCTTAGGTAACCAAATCTGAGCTGTTTTGTAGTTCATTATTAACATTATTTTTTGGAGATCTCTTTTTCCTCTTTAAATATCATCGTTATATGCTTTATAAATGCCAAGAAACAGGAGATACTCTGGTCATTAAACTTATATTTGACATTAAGCACTGTCTATAAACATTATTGCCATAGTATTGCTTAATATACTGAAATAAAATGTATTAGCATTTTTACAGCCAAACTGATAAGTATGCCACTATTGCACAGATTTCTGTAATATTCAGTATATTATATGAAAGCATGAAAGTTCCTGTGTAGGAAGAAGAGTTTGAGATTCTACTGATGAAAAGAGCTGTTTAAGTGTTACTTAATACAGGATGCTGGCCCCATCAGTACAGGCTCTATTTTTAAAAGTTCACTTAAACATAGATCTTTCAAATCTTGTTGTTCATTTTCATTCATCAGATGTTAATTAGCATCTGGCCAACAGATAAAGAGAAATATATATATATTTTTAATAATGGAGATTGCCTATCTCCTAGAACTGGAAGGGACTTTGAAAGGTCATTGAGTCCAGTCCCCTGCCTTCACAGCTGGACCAAGTACTACCCCTGACAAATTTTTGCCCCAAATCCTTAAGTAGCCTCTGCAAGGATTGAATTCACAACCCTGGGTTTAGCAGGCCAATGCTCAAACCACTGAGCTATCCCCCTCCCCATGGTCTAAATCAGGATGCTCAGACATCTAATACTTTTACAGTAGCTCTCTTAAAAGGACACTGTAATTAGGGTCCCAAATTTAGATTAAACTTTTTTCAAAGCCTATTATAAAATTTTCTTTAGTTTTATTGCAAACTTTTTTATTATTTAAACATTCCTGGGCAGTACAATAGCTGTATTTGTATTGGGTTAGTGTGCAAGATCAAGAAACTGATTGTAAACTGTTTGACAGCAGAGGTAAAGCTGTGTTTAAATTGGAGCTGTAAGCAGAAAGATGTGCTTTAGCCAGATGCAAGACATTATGCTCAATACAAGGGGTAAATGGGTGAAATTTGATGGCCTGTGATATAGGATATAAGTGGGGTCATTTCTGTCCTTACATGATATGAACCTGTGAATTAAAGGAGAATGGTTTCAATGTTTAAGCTGAATGTACTTCAACATATAAACTGTAAATGCTCTAGGGATGTAAAGGGTTAACTGGTTATTCAGTAAGCATTGCCTTACCTGCAAACTTCCCCGGGGTAACCAGTAAACTGACCTAATTCATCCATGCTCACCGTGTTGCAGGCGGTGGGCCGGATAATGGGTTAAACATATTGTTTAACTGTTTAACATTTTAAATGAGATTTTATATCCCTAAAATGCTCTATAGTATATTCAATTGTAAACTAATTTTAGCAGGCATTATCATAGGCCCTGATTCTGCCATTCACTCCATGCAGGACTTCTGTGCAGATTCTCAGTGAATTTAGTGAGAACCTGCGTCCCTGAAGCTCAGATTGGAGGATGAGGCTGTAAACTTGTCTAAGTAAAACAAATAAGAATTTTATTTTAGACATGATTTCAGTCAACGCTGTTCCCCACTCTGGTACTTCGAGTTCAGAAGGTAGGGGGCTCTCAAGAGACTTAAAAATACCTTGCAGCTAAAGACTTCTTAGAAACTCCCCAAGGTCATAGATTCCCTGATCTTGGATGGTATTGCTGCCACCATTCAACTGCAAAAACACCATTTGAAACACAGGAAGATGCACTTGGGAATTGCTTCCTGTCAGGTACCCCCAAGCTCTTTAAACCTCCCTCAGGAGAGAGTTTGAAAAATAACCTGTAATTTCTTAATATCTGACCTTTTCCTGCCTTTTAGGACACAGGAATCAGATTGTAATTTTACAAAGGTGATTTTATTAACAATCAAAAAAATAAACAAAA